ATAAAATAAAATAAAATAAAATAAAATAAAATAAAATAAAATAAAATAAAATAAAATAAAATAAAATAAAATAAAATAAAACATATAATAAAATAAAAAGCATAAAATAAAGTAAAACAATTAAAGTAGATTAAAATAAAATAAAATCAAATAAAATAAACTAAAATAAAAAATATAAATAATAAAATAAAATAAAATAGTTGTTGGTTAATAATGAATTGAATAATACAAGAATAAATTATATGGCTGATGTTGGCGCAGTGGCACTCTCCTGTTAAGTCAGGATCCGTTGGTTCGATCTCTGCCATAAGAAGTCTGATGAGGAGATGTGGTGATCTCCGAAACAGCTGTCACTTCTACCATTTTTCTTTGTTGTATAACAAAAATATTTAATTCATACAAACAAACCAGGCCTTTATTTTACTTTTACTTATATCAAAAATTATTATATAGCATGACCGCAAAAACAATTATAAGATATAGCAGAACAATAAAAAATAATATAAATAATACAAGAAATTAAATAAACTAAAATGCAACTAAATAAAATAAAATTAAATAGAATTAAATAAAACTAAATAATTAAAATTAAAATAAACAATACAAAAAAAATAATAATAAAAATAGAAAAACAAATTGAAGTAAAAAAAAAAAATAAAAAAAGAAATTAAACAAGAGTTAAATAAAATATAGCAAAATTAATTAAGTTTTTTAATGAACTCATCTATGCAATACTGATGGCATCTGCTCACCAATATAAATTGAGTAATGGGTTTATATCATAAGTTGTATGCTTGTGTACTTGTTGTCTGCATATGTTTCGAATTCTCTAGAGCCATGAATATGTTCGAACCATAAATTAGAAACGACAAAAATGTCTGCTAAGCAAAAGTCAATCGTTTACCACACAAGCGGGTTAATGATTACAGGCATATTTGGTTAACTGATTTGTTTTACCATTAAAGTGTGTGAAGTGTGCTGTTGAATAGAATTTCAAATTATATAAGCGTATATAAAAACTTCTTTACATAAATTTTTTTGCATTAAACTAAGCTTTTACCGAATAAATATTATAAAATACTTTCAAAAGAAAAAAAAAACATCTGAATATTGATGTGATGTGACGTAATTTATTCAATAAAAACTTATTAAATAAAAATTGGCTGATCTACTAGTGGTTTTAGACCATTTTAAGAAAAAAAAATTAAAAAGGTGAATTGGAAATATATTTATTTCAATACTTTTTCTTTCGATTTATACTAAATTTTAAAATAGTAAAGAATTTGGTGAAATTTTTCGAAATTAAATTGAAAATATTTTACAATTCTTTACTTTAAATTTGGGCGACTTATCCAATTTTTTATTAAAAGTCCTAAATATTTTATGAAGTTTCTTTCGATTTTTTGGATTTCGTTAAAGCACACAGGAGATTTATTACAGATAATAAAATAATTTATATTCTCTGCTAAGATTAAATTGTATAAAATAAAATGCAATATAAGTAAGGCAAAGTATTTAAAAAGCTCTTTCAAAGACATTTTATGAAAAGTGAATGGAATGGAAGTGACAGAGAACATTTTGCAGTTTAATGGTCCACTTAAATGTAAATTTTTGTCACGCAATGATTTGGCAAATTTTAATGTTTTGCACATTCAATATAAAGTCGAGGGTATTTATTTACTTATGTTTTTTGAAATAATTTAATATAAATGTGTATGTACGTACGAATACTTGTAGATTCGTAAACATAAAATTTTAAGGTTATAAAATTCGGCAAGTGAAATTTATTGATTGAAAAGAGTCCTTTAAGCTAATTCGCCTGCTTAAATATTGGCATTCTGAGTTATTAGCATTTCATAAAAATATTGAAGATGACCTTAAAAAAATGTATTGGTATTTAATTTGTTGAAAATAAATTGAATATCTTACTTATTGCCAAAATATTTAACTAAAATTTTATTTTAGAACCCAATATTAATGATTATTTGCGAAAAATTGTTTGGAGGAGGCTAGAGGATGAAATTTTGAAGATTTTCGTGCTATTAGTCGCTCTCTGACGGATTGTTGACCCAAAACTTTCAATCTTAACAAATCGGTTGTATGCGAGCTATAAGTTAGAGTCGTTCGATTTCGAGAACTTTTATTATATGTGTATCGAATACCAAATTTCATGCATTAATTTTCAACGGATTTATGGTTTAAAATTTCCAATATGAAAATTCGGTTGCCTATATAATAAAAATTTTAGCGGTCCCATCTGAGCGTTTTCGACAAATAACCATTTAAATGTACCAGTGCTCTCATGTAGCAGGGTTGCTTGAAATATCTCAAAGTCTGAGATACTAGTTCGCGTACAAAGAGACAGAGAGAGAGATAGGCAGATTTATAGGTTAAATCTCTGTAAGCTTTTGATGGCCCTAATTAATGGTTAATATACCATTTCATATATATGAAAGTTGAAAATAAATAATTCTTCTTTTTAGATATTATTATATTGCCTTAAGTGGTTATATATCGGTTTCCTATTTTACTCAATCGTTCTTTTTACTATTTTTTCAAAAATTTAAAGCGAAAATTTCAGTCGAAAACTCAAGTGTTGTTTGGCAAACTACGAAATTTTCTTAATCCTTCGATCAAACCTTTATTTTACTATCATTTAAAGGAATCAATCACGTTTCTCCATTTTAGATAATCAAAAATAAAGAAATTGAGTTCATAGCAAGCGCAATTTTTCAGTTGAGATGCACAGTTGCATCGATATCCTTAAGAGTTCTCTATCTTCAGGTGAAAGATTTCAATACTTCAATAGTGAGATTTTGGGTTCTTAATCCAGCATAGTAACTGTCTGATCCAGAAACGGATATTTGCCGTAATTTAACTCAAACGTAACGAATAACTCCTTTAAATGTTTACTGAATATGATATTTTTTATTATAAATAGACACAGCCGCGCCGAGCATTCGTTGAATTTGTTTGCAGAGTCTACAGTATCAACTTTTAAATATTTTTATACTTTGCAAATAATAAATTTTCACGCACTCCTAGTTTCGGTAATTAACTCTACATTTGATCTTAATCTGTTAAGGTGACCCTCTCCTGATATTGGAAAAAATTAGGCGAAGTTTGTATTTTTTTGTGGTAGAATGAGAAGGCGTACAACATCTAAGTTTTAACTATTAAATTTGTTTATTACTTGAAATTTCAAAACGGCACAAAATTCAAATTCGAAATGACGGTTCCAAAATAGCGAAAAACATGGCCCAGCAACTTCAAGCCTACAGCCTCACTACAAGGGACTGAAGTAAAAAATCTTTACTTGAAGAAAATGCAAGTTTCTACGTCCTGAACCTCAATTGAAACAATTTTAACCATAAATTTACTGCATTATGCTCCTTGCAATTATAAAGTTAAACTTTTTGCTTCTTTTTTCACTTCAGTTATGTTCGAAATATATAAATAATTAATTAGTAATGCTAATCTAAGGTTCAAGACATACAAAAAACTATATACTTTGAAACAGTTTTGAGATAAATGAAATCGGACGCATAAATCAAGCATGGTTTCGAGAAAACGCGTTCAACGTTCTGAGCATGCGTGAGACAGGGGTGGTCGAGGAGCTGCCACTTAAAATATATTGATTGCAAGATCCCTTGAAACACATACTCAAAAACTCTACAAAATCATGACAGTGTTCTCTTAAGAATGCAACACCAATTATCTTATGATTTTTTCAACCTAATGGAATTATTATCTATTTCATATAGCCCTTCAACCAAGTTTTTAGTTATTATATTTAATATATAAACTTAAATGAAATACCATAATTTTGTCATGAAAGGTAGGTAGGTAGGTCGAGTAGGAAATCCATCCTGTACCTTCGAAGACAATATTTTAGCGTTCGTTTACAACTAAAAATTAGCCAGAAACTAAAATTTGAGAGAGTAAAGTGACAGTTAAAGAAAGATTCTGTTTTGGCGTTGGAAAAATATTAATATAGTAAGAGTTATGCAATAAGGAAACATATGATATAAAAACATAGCGACCATATTTGGGGCATATAAATAAAAATGAAAGAAGCCAATTAAAAAGGAAAAAGAAAAAAACAGGAGGAAAGATAAAAAACAAAATGTATGAAATTAATTTTTTAAATTAATTTTACAGATAATTGTAATTAATTCTTCATAGCTGCCATTTAATAAGACAAGAGCGGATGAATCTCCAGCTTGGGGCGCTCCCTGCCAAAATTTTTTTTCCACTCCAATGCGCTGCTGTCATTTTCCGGTAGCACCGTAATTGACGGGGAGTAACTTGCATTGTCGTCCGAATCCATCTCATTTTCCACCACTCCTGGATTTGCTAGGTAAATTATTATTTCGTCGTAGGTTTTTTCTCAGTATTTTTATTTTAAACTATATTTTAATTTGTAAAGAGCAAAATGTAAAAAGCGCGCAACGACTGCTTTTTTGCTGTCTGAATAGTGATGGCTAATTTTTAGTTCGAACAAATCTACTTATTGCTTTTCTTAACTCATTTTTACTAATTAAATAATTTCTTATTTCTTTCCAGATATGCAGATGAACTGAAGCTGCAGAAAAAGGTGAGCAATGTGCCAACAATTGGTAATGTACTTCAGTTATTATATGCACTTTAAACAGAATGGCCTCACACACACACACATACACACACACACAAATGCATATACACATTTCAACATAGCTGCTGCAACACAACATAAACAAAGCACAAACTAAACAGCTGAAAAGCAAAAAAAAAAAAACCAACAACATTTAAATTAATAAACTCGTCTAACTGACATTCGGTTTAGCACAGTTACTTAGCGACCTTTAAACTCCGCAACCCAACTCAGCAAACTCACTCACTCCCAATTCAAAGCGAGCGAAAAACAATAGCAAAAAGCACGCATTCCATAAAAACACATTAGCCTTTGATTAAATTAAGTAGCGTAAAAAATGACAAATTCAAGCACGAGTTGAGTTCAGCTTACGCCAACAAGCCACAGGCAATGTACGCGTACCAGCACAAGCGACCTCGCGCATACGAGCGCAAGCTAAAAAAGCGAGCAAGGTTGACAAGTTTCGAAAAAAGGGCTAGAAGTGCCTGCAGATAAAAGCATGCCGAGTGTCAATGAGCGGTGGGTGGCACGGTTGAGTTGGGTACAGCGCGAGGACAGGGTGAGTCGAATCGGAGTGCATAAATGTGGGTAATGGCGTATTTCTGTTTGGCAGGATATAGTAAACAAGTTCAGTGAGGCGAAATAGCGAAAGAAAAAGTAAACAAACAAAGACAAATTTGACAATTGTTTGCATGAGTTTGAGTGAGCGAACGCGTGGGTGTATGCGCATGCGTGAGAAAAATTTACGAATAAACAGAGAGTGGGAGAGTGTAAAAGAAGAAGAAGCAGAACAAGAGTTGAAACTGTAAAAAAGGGGAAATGAAATTGACAAAATACATGAATTTACCTGTTATAAGAGATATCTCACAAGCCACAGGTGTACATAAATAAATTGTGCATGCTCAGTGAGGGTAAAAAATAAAGCAAATATATGAGTATGTGCTTGAATATAAAAGAGAGAGAGAGATAGCATGTTGAGCGATACGGTGTATGAGTTTTTTCGTCAACGGTAGGAATTTGCTAAATTTTGTGTTAAGGAAAATTTAAAATTTTAACTTCCGCATCGAAAAAAAAAAAATAAAAAAAAAAAAAAAAAAAAAAAAAAAAAAAAAAAAAAAAAAAAAAAAAAATAGCTTCAAAATATTTTCTGAAAAAAATATCGAATGAAAAATAAATAAAAATGGCTAAGCTCGTGTGCAACTGAACATTACATACTCAGTTGGTATTTACATTAAAAGCCAGCTGCTTATTTGACTTTCACAGTTATAGGGCCGTATAAATATTTTTCTGACGTATTCTTTCAATTCTTTTCACTATTTTGCCCTTCAAGTAAGATCAATTTTTATTAATTCTTTTGATATTCGATTATATATACATAAGGATTTGCACAGAATGACGAATCATCGAAAACACTCGAAATTCGAAGGAAGATGAGAAAGGATGAGAAAGGATTTTCCGGCAAAAAGGCATGATACCAATATTTTAGAAAAAAATGTATTTTTGATTTAATTTGTTTGATATTTGAAATGAAGCTCTCTTCCTCAGCCAAAACGCACTTGTGGTTCAATTTGTCTGATATTTGAAACGTAACTCCTTGTCTAAGTTAGTATATAGTATAAATAGATTTGTCTTCTGGAAAACGGATTTAGGAGGATTTATTCAAAAATATCGAAGTATTGGTCCGATTTGCTTCAAATTTAGAACACGATGGCAACTTGCCTTTTTTCCGAGAACTAGAACTGGTATTGATCTATTTGATAAAATGTACATGTAACCAATCTATTCGAAAAATTTATCTTTTTTTTCGATTTGTCTGATATATTTCCCTTCGGAAAAGCAGGGTTTCATCTCAATTTTTTAGACATCTTGAGCTAGCCTTTGCTTTTTTCCGTGAAGTGAAAATGAGTCCGATATATAGGAAAAAATCAAACAAATCACGGGCAATACCTCTTTTCTAAATAAAATATGAAAATCCAAGAAATAACTAAATTTTTATATCAAGATTTTCTCTTTTATATACTTGTACGAATTGGACTTAGAAAGTATAATTGCAATTTTTGTTTCGACCATTAAAAAATTATTAATGCCAAAAAATATTTGACTCACTAAAGTAATACTAATTTTACTAATCATATTAATATACTTTTTTGACCTTAGAATTATCGAAAATGGTTGAACTTTTCAAAAGTATGAACGAAGTTCTTAAGTTCACTTGTGTTCCATATTAATTTGTCTCCGTGTAACAGATAGAAATGAGAGAATAAATTTAATGGGAGTAAGAGTGCGAGAGAAGAGGAAGAGGGATAGCGAGATAGAGAGAGTGATACAGCGTTTGGACCAATTTTTGCGAGAAAACTCAGACAAGTAATTTAACTCAGTAACATTTGAGTGAATAAATTGAGAATGCCCGGATTAAGATTATGGAGCTTCACCTTAATAAATTACAATTAATTTAATTTAAAACTTATATTAATACTTTTTTCTTAACTCGAAGTGTGTTATACGAGTAAAATATAATATGTGTATAAATATTAAAAATAAATACTTATAAATATGAAACATTAGCTTTTGAATTAGCTTGTTGTCATTTTAATTTTATTAATTAAATAAAATATGAATTTATCAAATCCGGTGTAGGAAAGTTCATTTGTGGCATTTTTTTTTTGATATTCCCTCGTTTGAGATTTACACAAATGATAAAATGTACCCAATATTCACAAAACATTTATCATTCACTCAATATTAATCATCCACAGAATCATAAACACCTGCTTTAGGCTTTCACTCTCTGCTTAATGCTCTCTCTCACTCTCTAGTTTTTTTTTTCGACAGCGCCGTTTCTCTAAAAAGTCGTTGCCAACACAATCTCTCTCTCAGAGCAGTCTCCTGTATTACAGTTTTTGCTTTACTTGCTGATGACGTCAAAGCTTCGCCTTAACACTCGGCACGATTGTTGCGTTTTTCTCGTACGCCTCGCATTTCATACAATAGCTGTAATGCCAAGGACTCAGTTTGCCAGTAGTTGAAAATTTATCCTTAGTGCTTCGCCGGATATTCACAAAGAGAGTCGTTTGGGCCGGAAAATGTTATGCGTCTAATATAAAGTTGACACTTTATACATATATGTATTGAATACTGACATAAGAGTACAACTAAACAAAAAAATAATTTATATATATATGTACATATACCTATGTGAATGCTTGTTTACTGGGAAACAGTGGTTGCAAGTGAGTGATTCAAAATTGAAAATAAAGAAAAAGAAAAAATGTTAGAAAAATAAAATTTCATTGTTTGTAAAAAGTTGTATAATTATTTTAAAAAAATATTTAGAATTAAACTGAAAAGAAATAAAAAAATTTAAATATTAAAAAAAAAAATAATAATAACGAGAAAGATGGAATTAAAAAATGTTTATGCCGTAGTAAATAAATATGTATGTGTGAGTAATGTGTGAAGCCTTGAACTTTCGTGCTCGAGTTAAAACCAAAATATTTCTCAGCTTCTAATAAAATTACCAGTAAAACTGTTGATTCTTTAAAAATCTGCTCGAAAGGTAACGCAGAAAAATATCCTAGCGCAACTGCTTTAGTTTAAACATTTATTTCTGTGTATGTGTGTCTATTGTGAGAGTGTCTCTGTAAAAGTTTTCCGTATTTACATTGTGTAGGCGTCTGTCACTTTTTTGCATTTGGAAAATTTATAGCCAAATGTGACTACCAATATTTTTTTGCACACAAAGAAATAAAATAAAAATAAAAAATATCAAAAAAGAGAGATAAAATTTAGTGGAAAAGTGGAAAAAAGTAAAAAAAAAAATCCAAAAGTGAATCAAAATTGTAATGAAAATAGAACCAAAATAAAGTTAGACCACTCATACGAGTATATATGTATTTACACAAATATATTAAGTGTAGTGCTTAGAGACAACATACAGACCGAGCGCCCGCAGCAAAAGCTAAATATCCACTCAACGCGCAAAAAATCTACAAAATTCAATGCAGAAAATAAAATCGAGCTCAAATAAATGACACACAGTAGGCGTAGTGTGAGTGAAGTGTGATTGTGATTGTGCGGCGGTGGGGATAGCGAAGCGCTGCTCAAGAATGTAAGCAAATCAAATATTCGTGACTGTGTTCACGGCCGTTAGTATTTGTGAACATTTTTTTTTATTTTGTGTTGGAAATCATACTTATTGTTGCATTGAAATGTGAAAAAGGACTTAAGTGAACTTTTTTTTTTGAATTAAAAAGGTGTGGCGGTTATCAGTATTCGATATTTCAAAATTCTTTTAATCAAAACATGTTTTTTTCTTCAAAAACTTTAAAACTATTTTTTGAAAATAAATTGAACATATTTTAATGTCAATATTTCTTATAATATTAAAAAATGAAAAATTTACTTTTTTAATATTTTTCTACGTCATTTTTTTTGAATTCTAAAACTTTTTTAATGCAATATTAAATAAATTTTTTCCTTAATGTTTTTAAAAACTCTCTTTGAATATTTAAGTTCATGAACTACTTGAGCTTCTCTAAAACTGTATATATATCCAATTTCTTTGCAAAACTTATAAATCGTTAATTAATAATAAATTATTTACAAATTAATATTAGTACTTAAATAATTTGCCTTTGAATATCAAAATATTTCAAAATTATTATTTTTTTTTTCAAAATTTTCAATTTTTGTTCAAGTATATATATTGTATAACTAGCGCTTTGTAACCGCTGAAGCGATATTCGGTCGAGATCCTCCTCGAGCGCCGAGCTCTCTGAATTACCCTTTTTTTTAAATATTTTTAGAAATTTTTTGAATACATAAATTCTTTAAAATTAACTATTTTAATTCCCTCAAAGTTTAAAATATTTTTTCATTAATTTTGTTAAATTTTTATTTTTTTAATTGATTACATTTATTATTTCTTATAATTGGTCGGTTTTTTTATAATATTCTTATATTATATTAAGTTTTTATAATATCTATTTGTAATTTTTTTTCTTCATCATTGTTTGAGCTTCTGTTGGACATTTTCAAAATATGTATAGTTTTTGATTTCCTTTTTATAAGGAAGATTATGATTGTCTGAAACATTAATTTTTTTAACTCTTTTGACCTTATCACTACTGTAAAATTTTAATTTGATATTTTGACTTCATATCAGGGATTTCCTTAAAACTTTTAGTGCTTGTTTTTTATTATTTAAATAGGTGAAAATTAATTATTTTTTAATCTTTTATGTTATACATGTTTTTTGAGTATTGTTTTGAAAACCTTTAATTTCTTAATCAGTTGTTTTTATAAATTGAAAAAAACATTTCTTTTAATTATTATTATTTTTTTGAGCTTTTAATAATATACATTCTTAAAAATTTTTTCTTCTTAATTTATTTATGGGATATTAAAAATTTTCAAAATAAGATTTTTTTAAATTTTACCAAAAAAATTCGGAGTTTTCGTTATTTAGCGAAGATTTGGCTTTCTTAAACATCGAACCTTCAGTTATTTTTTTAGCATTATAATTATTTTAAAATTTTTTACTTATTATATAATTTTTTTCCTTAAAATTTTAAACGCTTGTTTTTAAATATCTCCGATTTTCAAAATAAATGTTTTTTTAAAGTTGTGTATAATTTTTTATTCAATAATTTTGTTAAGAATTACACTCTGTTTACATTTTTTTATTTAAGTTTGTATTGGATTACTTAATATTTTTATTTGAAATTTTCGTTAAATTTTTTTGAATTTTTTTTTTCATTTAATGGCTTTTAGTTTTTTTTAGTCTGTTTTAAGGCAAATTCTAAAATTTCTATTTAAAAAAAAATATCAGTTATTCACTTTCTGCATTTTACCAACAATATGTGTATATGTTTGCTTGTTTTTTTTCTTCCCACCACCTTTTTCGCAAATTTCGTATTTCATACACGATTTTTTCTACTTCATACTCGACCTACAGCGCCATAAAGTATGCTACACCATGCTCCACTAAACAATCACGTAGATATGTACTTACGCGACTACATATCTACAAATAGACATTGCAAATATTTGTTTTACTCAATCGCTCATTTTATTTAAATTTATACAATTTATTTTTATTATTTTTTACATTGAAGTTGCCAGAAGTGCTTTTTGACTGCGCGTGTGGTGGAGGGGCTCTGTTGTCATTTAACACTTTAAGGCAACGGTTTAAATGATTGGAAATTCTTTTTTTTCTACTACTTTTTTGTTGCCGTCTTCTTTTCTCGCTTTCCTTCTTTCAATTGGTTCTTCTTGGTTTTGAGTTTTTTTACGTTTTTTTCTAAGCCAAATTTTCCTTTGTTACCTTCGCGTGTTTGTAAGTGCTTGTGCGTGTGTGTGTTTTTAGCCATGATGTCTGTTTTTTATTATTTAGGCATTTAGCAGTTTTATTGGTTTTGCTGGAATTTTAATATACACTTTGGTCAGCGGTTGCAGAAAATACGTCTGCCATTTAGTATTTATTTAATTAAAGGCTTTCCGCACTGTTTTTTATTGCCACCAAAGTCATTTGATTTGTGTGTACGGTTTTTATTGCTAAAAGTGTTTTACTTGACATTTTTATGAACTACGTTTTAAGGGAATTCATATTCAACTTTTGTGCTTCTTCGGATAATATCGTACCATTATATTTATGTGGATATTTCTAAAGAAAGTCTCTGTGTTTTAAGATAATCTGCGGAAAAAAATTGGCCAGGTCAGTTTATACTGGAGGTGACTTATATAGTCCTGTTGATCCTTTGCATTGCCAGCTGGTGGTCCATTTCACTTTCAACTAAACTGGTCGTCGTTTAGGAAATCAACACTTCTCGCGAAGCCCAAGAGATAATCAGAGACACCAGTAAATTGAGACCACTCATGAGGTCAACAAGTGACCTGCAGTCCTTATGTGACCATGTGAGCTAGAAAAGGGGTTTTTCCTTTGCCGCTATAGCACAAAATTTGTGTGATTCCCATGCCACTTAAACGATCCATCTAATCCGCTAGACGCACCCAATTTTTCCAAACATTTTTTTCTTTGTTTCTTTTAGCGATTTTTGTATGTTCTGCACGAGTTCGCTATCAGAACGGATGACACTTTTGTCAACCTCTTTAGCTGTTTCGTCGCCCTTAATACTTGGTGTATATGCAGCCGAAGATCTGCCTGCTACTTCCCTGTTTCTCAAGATACTTCCAACGCTCAACGTTGTGAGATTATTGCTTTAATTTTCAAATGACTATCAACATACTTATTCTCTGTCTGAGCTGACTTTTACCTAGAAAATATTTTAGCACACTGTAAGCTTTAAGGAATGGTAGAGCTCTAGGTTAGTTGAAAAGACTCTGACCGCCACTCTATTAGACAATTTTGATCCACCCCTGTAGATATCATACTTTCCACTGGCGGGTAGTATGTTCCTGGACCATCCGTCCTGCTTTGACGTGGCATGGTCTATTTTGCCCTCAACACTTTTTTTATTTTTGGAGATAACCTTTGCTCCTGGTGAGCTCCATACCATGGACTGCTGTTTGGTTTCTGGATCGTAATTATAGAACCAAGATCCGTTACCAGCAGCGAGTTTACTGAAGTTGCTAGACTGACTATTTTCGAGTTTGATTATGAAAAATTAAGCAAAATGCCTTCGAACCTATTTTTGGGCCTAATTTCAAATTCGAGGTACCCATCGAGCAGATTTCTTCTTGTAACCCAGATGACTGCTTAATATTTGCGTTACAACCATGAAATTCAAGGCCAATTTTTTGAGCAATTATTTCTTGTGTCAATTTTGAACTTCACCGGAGCTAGAGTGAAAATTTTGGTCGACCTTCTCGGGGCTCGTCCGCTACGGAAACGTGTCCGGTCTGGAATCTTCGAAAGCACTTGGAAATAGTCTTTAAAGATGGTGCAATCGTTTCATATGCAATTTGGCATTCACTGAGTATTTTTAATGGCGTAAATAGCGCCAAAACCCGAAGCGAATCACAGACAGATAGAAAGACAGTGAAAAATCGCCTTTTTGAAGCAGTGAAACCCATGCAGCCCCTTAATGAAAATTACATTGTTATGAGCGTTAAATACATATTTTTCGGCTCTAAGTTCTAAAAACATTAAATAAATTCATCTATATCATTTAAAACTTCAAACGCCTCAGCTCAGTGGCTTGTCATTTCACCAATCATCAGTTCTGTTCAGCCACCCACCAATTCATCTCTCGCCATCTAATAGTTTAAT